GGCACGGTGGCTCACGCTGTAATTCCAGCACTTTGGGAGGCCGAGGTGGGTGGATCACCTGAGGTCAAGAGTTCAAGACCAGGCTGGCCAACATGGTGAAACCCCGACTCTACTAAGAATACAAAAATAAGCTGGGTGTGATGGCAGGCACCTGTAATCCCAGCTACTTGGGAAGCTGAGACAGGAGCATCACTTGAATCCAGGAGGTGGAGGCTGTAGTAAGCCAAGGTTGTGCCATTGCACTCCAGCCTGGATGACGAGCGTGAAACTTCATCTCAAAAAAAAAAAAAGAAAGAAAGAAAATAATAGTTCGAAAAACTGAAAAATAGTTCAGGTGCTGTGGCTCATGCCTGTAATCCCAGCACTTTGGGAAACCAAGGTGGGAGGATTGCTTGAGCCCAGGTATTTGAGACCAGTCTGAGCAAAATAGTGAGACCCTGTCTCTACAAAAAAAATTAATAAAAATAAAAATAATAAAAACAAATCAGCTGGTTCTAGTGGCATGAACTAATCGGGAGGCTGAGGTGGGAGAATCCCGGAGGGAGTAGGAGTCCTGGAGGTCTAGGCTGCAATGACCCTGTCTCCAAAACACAAAACAAAACAAAACAAAACAAAACAAAAAAAGAGAGAGAGGGAAAAGAAAGCAAATAAAAAAAATTAAAGGGCCAGGCACGGTGGCTCATGCCTGTAATCCCAACACTTTGGGAGGCCAAGGAGGGTGGATCACGAGGTCAGGAGTTTGAGACCAGACTGGCCAATATGATGAAACCTCATCTGTACTAAAAATACAAAAATTAGCTGGGCATGGTGGTGCATGCCTGTAATCCCAGCTACTCAGGAAGCTGAGGCAGAAGAATTGCTTGAATCCAGGAGGCAGAGGTTGCAGTGAGTCGAGATCGTGCCAGACTCTGTCTCAAAAAAAAAAAAAAAAAAAAGGAAAAAATCAGAAACATTTTGCTGGAGTGTTTCCTACTTTTTTGCTCCCTCGGGCTGCCCCACTCAGCTAATTTGAGGACATAGGATTATAAGAAAGGTGTGAGGACTGGGGGGTGTGTTGTGGTTAGAAAATGGGAAAATTGAATTGCAGCTAATACAAACTTTCTGGCTACTTAGAGTCTTCTAGGGTTATAGTACCTTGGATTAAGTCATTATGGTTTAGATTTTGAACTTCAACATTCTCAGTTCAATAACATGGTCAAGTCAGTTATATGAAAATGAGTTAAATGAATCCATGGATTCTCATGCCAAACAGTCTCTTGTGAGAATATATAAACCAGAATGTTAATTTACTATCTTACAATGAGAAACGTAACCGGACAGCAGATTGTATATTCAGATTGTATATTTTATCAGCTGCTTGAGATTTTTTGTTTTGTTTTTGAGACAGGGTCTCACTCTGTCACCCAGGCTGGAGTGCAGTACGATCTCAGCTCACTGCAACCTCTACCTCCTGGGCTCAAGCCATCCTCCTACCTTGGCCTCCTGAGTAGCTGGGTCTACAGGCTCAAGCCACCATACCAGCTAATGTTTTGTATTTTTGGTAAAGACAGGATTTTGCCATGTTGTCCAGGCTGGTCTTGAACTCCTGGTCTCAAGTGAACCACCTGCCTGGGCCTGCCAAAGTGCTGGGATTACAGGCGTGAGTCACCACCCCGGCCTGCTTGAGATATTCTTTCCTTATAGGATAATCTACATGGGAAGCCTAGTTATAAAATCAGATTTTCTGGTAAACAGGAATCTGGAGCAAGAATTATTAGATCGGTAATCATAAAAGACCAGTGTTATCTAATTACGATAACCAAATGCAATCATTTCAGCCTTAAGAACAGAATTGCTAAGAGAGGGTTGCTTTTTCTCTACTGCTATTTTCTTTCATGTGAGTTGAGCTGGAATGATGTGCTCATTGCTTTCCCTTTATTCACTGTAATCCAAGGCAGAGAGTAACTCATCTGATTGCTAAATCAGGAAGAACAACCTAGGTATGCTTGCCTCATTTCTTCTCATTTCTCTCAAGAGTACACACTTCCTCTGGGATTTAAGCCTTACTTGGGCCAGTGTGTTCAGTGTTGTTCAGGGCCAATTTCTTCCTTAGGCACAGCAGGCAGTGCCTAGGGTCCATGAAAATGTTTTAATTTCCTTAAAAATCAGAAGAAAAAAAATGAGGCTGGGTGCGGTGGCTCAAGCCTGTAATCCCAGCACTTTGGGAGGCTGCTGCCATAGGATCCCTTGAGCCCAGGAGTTGCAGACTAGCCTAGGCAATATAGTGAGACCCCGTATCCTTATCTACAAAAAAATTTAAAAATTGGCTGGGTGTGGTGCCATGTGCCTTTGGTCCCAGTTACTCGGAAGGCTGAGGTGGGAGGATCCTTGAGCCCAGGAAGCTTAAACTGGAGTGAGCCGAGCTATTGGCGCTACAGTCTGGCCTGGGCAACACCCTGTATGGGAAAAAAAAAAAAAAAAAAAAAAGAAAAAGAAAAAAGAAAAAACAGAAGAAGAAAAAAGTGAATTTGTAGCTCAAAAATGTTTTAATATATGTATATCAGTATAGCCATAATGTACAATTTTTAGTATATATATTTAATGAAGGAAAAAGAAGGGGAGCCCAAGAAAAAAGCAGAAGTGCCTATGGCCCCATGAAAGCCATAATGTGTGCCTTTGCTGCCTGTGGAACACGGTAGGTAAGTGTGTATCATTCTGGGGTTCAGGTGACAGGTCAGTTTGGTTCTCATGAGCTGCATCCTCCAGTTAATCCTTATCAGTTCAAGGTGATATCTGACCTCACATTTACCTTATGCTTGCCCTTTATTCTCAATTTGGGCAGAGAAGAGCCAGGTCCTTTATTGGATGCCCTCAAGACCTCAACATAAACTATAGGAATATATATTTACTGAATCAAACTGAAGGAGACTGGAGAATCTGTGTAGTGAGCAAGGCTACACTGATCGATGCTGGCTAACTTCTGCAGAAATACCGTTATTTAACTTCCCTTTTCTATGGTCCATACAGATCAAATCCTTCTATACATATCTATGTGTGTGTGTGTGTGTGTGTGTGTGTGTATATATATAGATTTTTTTTTTTAGACAGAGTCTTGCTCTTTCACCCAGGCTGGAGTGCAGTGGTGCCATCTTGGCTCACTTCAAGCGATTCTCCTGCCTCAGCCTCCCAAATAGCTGAGATTGCATGTACACTCCACCATGCCCAGCTAATTTTTGTATTTCTAGTAGAGATGGGGTTTCTCCATGTTGGCCAGGCTGGTCTCAAACTCCTGACCTCAAGTGATCCGCCCACCTTGGACTCCCAAAGTGCCGGGATTACAGGTGTGAGCCACTGCGCCAGGCTCAAATCCTTCTATATTTTGCATTTAGCCACCCCCCCCAAAAAAAAAGAGAGAGAGAGAGAGAGAAAGCTCATTGACATGATTGTATAAATTATGATTGATTTCTGATTTAGAACAAGTTTTTGTTGTTGTTGTTTTGAGACGGAGTCTTGCTCTGCAGCTGAGGCTGGAGTGCAGTGGCTCAATCTCGGCTCACTGCAACCTCCGCCTCCCGGGTTCAAGGGATTCTCCTGCCTCAGTCTCCTGAGTAGCTGGGACTACAGGCGCACTCCACCATGCATGGCTAATTTTTGTATTTTTAGTAGAGCTGGGTTTTTCACCATGTTGGTCAGACTGGTCTCGAACTCCTGACCTCAGGTGATCCACCCACCTGAGCTTCCTAAAGTGCTGGGATTACAGGGTGAGCCACCGAGCCCGGCCCAAGGCATGGTTTTATATATTAAAAAGTTGCTGGCCGGGTGCGGTGGCTCACGCCTATAATCCCAGCACTTCAGGAGACCGAGGCAGGTGGAATACCTGAGGTCAGGGGTTTGAGACCAGCCTGACCAACATGGTGAAACCCCATCGCTACTAAAAATACAAAAAATTAGCCAGGCATAGTGACAGACGCCTATAATCCCAGCTACTCGGGAGGTTGAGGCAGGATAATTGCTTGAACCGGAGAGGCAGAGGTGCAGTGAGCTGAGATCGTGCCATTGTACTCCAGCCTGGGCAACAATAGCAAAAGTATGTCTCAAAAAAAAAAAAAAAAAAAAAAGTCACAGATGTTCAGTGATATTATTACATTCAGAGAGCAAGTTGGGATTACAAATAACATTTTTCCAGGTAAATCAGTATATTCTTAGTTTTTTTTCCCCTTATCTACATTAGTTACCTGATTAAAAATCCTGGATATTTGAGTTCTAGTTTTTTCTTTTTTTTTTTTTTTTGAGACAGAGTTTCACTCTTGTTGCCCAGGCTGGAGTGCAGTGGCGTGATCTCGGCTCAGTGCAACCTCTGCCTCCCAAGTTCAAGAGATTGTCCTGCCTCAGCCTCCCGAGTAGCTGGGATTACAGGCGCCCGCCACCACACCCAGTTAAGTTTTGTATTTTTAGTAGAGATGGGTTTTGCTATGTTGGCTAGGCTGGTCTGGAACTCCTGATGTCAAGTGATCCACCTGCCTCAGCCTCTCAAAGTGCTGGGATTACAGGCGTGAGCCACCGCGCCCGGCAGAATTTTTTTTTTTTCCAGCCAAGCAGCAGCTTTATTAGTGGTGCTGGGTTCTTCCCATACCTTGCAGTGTGCTCGGAAGCATTCCCCAGGGTTTCCACAGATTGCCTCCCAGCGCTCGGGACAACATTGTGTAGCTTTGACACTGAAATGATATAAATAAAGCTTTGGTGTGTAGGTTTGCAGGAGAGAGTACAGGTTAATACTATGATACGAAAAATTCAGACAACACCAGTTCTCAATGTGAATTGGGTTTTTGGCCAAAGGGGTAACTTCTATGTGACTGGACACTGGGCCTGTTGCCATAGTCTACTCAAGGCCCCAGCGGCAGGAGGAGGGCGTCTAGGGCTGAGGCTACATGTGGCCCTGCCACTTCACCTTCATCTGCAGGTACCACCCTTTGCCTTCCTCTAAGCGCTTCTCTCTCTCTCTCTCTTTTTTTTTTTTTTCTGAGACAGAGTTTCGCTCCTGTTGCCCAGGCTGGAGTGCTCCCTGCAACTTCCGCCTCCCGGGTTCAAGAGATTCTCCTGACCCAGCCTCCTGAGTAGCTGGGATTACAGGCGTGCACCATCACTATCACGCCCGGCCAATTTTTTGTATTTTTAGTAGAGACGGGGTTTCACCATGTTGAGCAGGCTGGTCTGAACTTCCAACCTCAGATGATTCGCCTGCCTCAGGCTCCCAAAGTGCTGGGATTACAGACTTGAGCCACCAAGTCAGGCTTCAAAGCGCTTCTTCTCATCCTGGGTCTGGGGCAAGCGCTGGGGCATGGGCAGCGACCCACCCTCCTGGCTCAGTGACACTTAGGTGAAGACACTGGCGGCCCGGTAGCGCTTCTGGGAGCTGTCCGCAACAGAGTTGGCGTCCACCAAGACCTCTATCTCTACGGATTTATTGCTCGTGAAGGCCATGCGTCTCGAGATGGTCTTGATGCAGCCTTTTCTGATCTTGTCGTGAAAATTAATGGCGTTCACGGAAGCTGTGACGAGGTTGGTCTTGCAGTGGCGTGCAGCCACGATCCCGGCGACCTCGTCCGTGAGCTTCATGGTCACGCCTTCATGCACGAAGCTGTGCAGGGTACAGTCTGAAGGCCCCACCAGGTGGATCAAGCTGGACTGGCTGTAGCTGACAGTGTTCGGCTCTGGGTTGAGGACTGGCTGGACGACGTCCTGGTTCCTCCACTTGGTCTCCATGCGCTCCAGCTTCTGCGTTTTGTACCGCTTCCGGCCCTCCTCCTCCTGCTCCTGCCGGGAATACACAACAGGAGGCACTTGGAGGACCTTGTCCACGTTCTTCAGCGACAGGGGCACATACCAGAGGGTGGCCTTATTGGTCAGCTTTTTGGTACCTGTAAGGATGTTTTCGGACATCACGTTGACCTGCACCTCCACTGAGTGCTTGGAAGTGTAGGTGATCTCCGCGCTGATGTGGGCCACCTCACCGATGCACATGGGCCACAGGAAGTCGGTGTGCTCGACCCGTGCCAGAGTGGCCACACAGCGGTCCCTGTTCTGGCTGTTGCAATGCCAGGTGCTGATGATGGCGCCCACCTCCTCGATCATCTTCAGGATGGTCACCCCTAGACATTGCGGGCCACACTGGCGTCATCTGGCCGCATGATCCTGCAGATCTGGAAGGCAGACGGTGTCTGGATGTCTGGGCCACACATGCTGGCAGCTGCCGCGGTGGCTGCGGGCCGGCGCAGGTGTCTGGCAGGCCTGGCGTGGAATTGAGTTTTAGTATTGAGAAAATTAAAGTTTTGGTTGTTAAAATGATTGCAGTTTTAGCTAACTTCAATTTTAAAATTCACCAATAATAAAACTATTATTTATCAATAAGTAGAAACGAGTTAGAAAATATTCAATCCTTTCAATTCAGTTGGGGAATAAACTAATATTTTTCGAACACCTGACACATATCAAGCATTTACTTACGTATTTGCATCCATATTGCAATTTAATTCCTGCAACTGTCCTGGACGGGCACAGTGTCTCAGGCCAGCATTTTGAGAGGCTGATGGGGGAGGATCGCTTGGGCCCAGGAGTTCATAGACCATTCTGGGCAACATAGTGAGATCACCATCTCTAAAGAAAACTAAACAAAACAAAACCAGTTCTTTTTTTTCTTTTTTTTTAGAGAGGCTCTCACTCTGTCACCCAGGCTGGAGTACAGTGGCACAATCTCGGCTCACTGCAACCTCCGCCTCCCAGGTTCAAGCAATTCTCCTGTCTCAGTCTCCTGAGTAGCTGCGATTACAGGATCTTGCCACCACGCCTGGCTAAAAACCAGTTCTTTAAATTTAGCATCCTGGTCAGGCACGGTGGCTCATGCCTGTAATCCCAGTATTTTGGGAGGCTGAGGCAGGTGGATCACTTGAGTTCAGGAGTTTCAGACCAGCCTGGGCAACATGGCAAAACCCTGTCTTTACAAAAAATACAAAAATTAGCCGGGCATCATGGCACGTGCCTGTAGTCCCTGCTACCTGGGAGGCTGAGGTGGGATGATCACTTGAGTTCCAGAGGCAGAGGTTGCAGTGAGCCGATATAGTGCCACTGCACCCCAGCCTGGGCAAAAGAGTGAGACCCTTTCTAAAAAAAAAAAAAAAATTAGCGTCCTTATCCCCACTGTAGAATTAAAGAAATTGAGGTTAGGAGCAGTTAAGTATCTTTGCAGAGATCATACATTAATGGGATGGCAGAACTAAAAATATGGATCTACACCTAAAGTTTAAAAGCCTGTATTATTTTCCACTTCACCATACTACTTCTCTTAGTAAAAATAACAGTGATGATGCTTTGTATCTGTCTTACCACACATAAATTGTAACAAAGGTCCTTAAGGACAGGGGCTATGTCTTATACTTTTACAGTATCCCTAATGAATTTTCAGGAAATACTGCTTGAATGGTATGGTTGGTTCCTGGTATTTAAATACTGTTATTTAATTTTTCAATGGTATTTCAATGATAGAAATAAATTATGCTTTTTTAACTTTAGTGTTTATAATGCAATTATTCTGACTTATTTCACATCAGAGATAATTTTATCCAGTTTAAATTCATCTTACATAAAAAATGTGTAAACAGACTGAATGCAGTGGTTCACACGGGAATCTCAGCACTTTGGGAGGCTGTGGCAGGCGGATTGCTTGAGCTCAGGAGTTTGAGACCAGCCAAGGGAGCATGGCAAAACCCTGTGTCTACAAAAAATATAATTATTAGCCACGCATGGTGGCACATGCCCGTGGTCCCACCTATTGGGAGGCTGAGGTGGGAGGATCACCTGAGCCCAGGGAGTTTGAGGCTGCAATAAGCTGTGATCACGCCATTGCACTCCAGTCTGGGAGACAGAGTGAGACCATGTCTCAAAAAAAAAAAGCATAAATAAATATGCAGTTATGTTTGCTGCCATTTTTTGGAGTGTATGATATTTTTGGAGCATTATTATATCACGCTCATATAAAATATATTTAATATATTTAACTTCATTTGTAGGCTACTGAACTCTAGGAGTTGCCTTATGAATACCATTCTGGGACTTCCAGGATTTTCCTAAGTACTTTCTGTCTGTTCAGTACCAGGAATAATAATATAAAATAAATAGTAAAAGGATAGTACTATCTATAGAGTTGAAAACACTGACAGAGAAATGGACTTTGCCTTCAGAAAGGTATTAGCCTGAAAGGGTTAAGTAGTCCTAGAACTTGGAAACATGTATGTTTTTCCTTTTTCTTTCTTTTCTTTCTTTCTTTTTTTTTTTTTGAGTCTTGCAGAATTAGCTAGAATGGAAACCCATATTTGAATGTACTAAAATAACTATCAGCCAAGGACTCCTCACTCTGGGATTGGTGCTCTTGCCCTGGCCCTAATGCCTTTCTTTTCAAAATACAAACCAGATCACACCAAACAAAAATGTCTCACACTCCTCAAACTCCATTCTAATTAGCAACATTCAGAATTTATCTTTCAGGCAGGTCATTACCAAACATTGAAAAACCTAACTTCTTAGGCAGGGACTGAGAGGAAAGTCTAGTGGGTGGAATGTGTTACTTGGCCCCAGGCCCAGCTCACATTTTCCATAAGCAAACACCACCTTAGCTTAGGGTGAATGTCTTTAACAACACCTCTGGAGCTGGCCTCCCTCAATTTAGGAGTTTTTTTTTTTTTTTTTTTTTTTAAGTACAGTCAAATTTTGAGAACCTAAATAATTTCATTATAAAGAACTTTACATTTCCCTTTAACAAGCATTTACAGAAAAACTACTATGAGGTCACCCACAGTGGCTCACGCCTGTAATCCTAGCACTTTGGGAGGCCAAGGCACGCAGATCAGTTGAGGCCAGGAGTTCAAGACCAGCCTAGCCAACATGTCGAAAACCCATCTCCCCTAAAAATACAAAAATTAGCCGAGCATGATGGTGCATGCCTGTAATCCCAACTACTTGGGAGGCTGACGCAAGAGAATCGCTTGACCCAGACGGGGGAGGTTGCAGTGAGCTGAGATCACGCCACTGCATTCCAGCCTGGGTGACAGAGTGAGACCCTGTCACAAACAAACAAACAAACAAAAACAAAAAGGAAAACCTGCTATGATAGTTAGATTTCTCTGGATGCAACTATCAAGAAACAACTCAAGTTAGCTTAGGCCAAAAAAGGAGAGATTTATTGTAAGAATATAGGGATGTTTTGAAGAAACCAAGGAGAGAGATGTAGCTGGCCCAGGAAAGACCAGAAACAAGTTGTTGAGAGCCCAGACATCATTTTCTCTCCATCTCTCCAGTATCTCTTTTCTGCTTGTTTCTTCTCCCTAGAGCAGCTTCCTCTGCTACCCTGGACTGACGTAGAATATAGCTGCCTCCAGCTCCTGAGTTAATCCTATACAAGCTCAGCAGCACAAAGAAACTGAGAATCGCAAATCTTTCATATTTTTACTTAAACGCTATTTATTTTTACACAGCAAATAGATTTTTTGGGGGGTCTTGCTCTGTTACCCAGGCTAGAGTGCAGTGGAGCAATGATAACTCAAGCCATCCTTTCAACTCAGCCTCCAAAGTAGCTGGAACTACAGGCACACACCACCGTGCCCAGCTAATTAAAATTTTCTTCTTTTTTTTCTTTTCTTTTTTTTTTTTTAAGGCCGGGCACAGTGGCTTATGCTTGTAATCCCAGCACTTTGGGAGGCCATGGCAGGCAGATCACTTGAGGTCAGGAGTTCGAAACCAGCCTGGTCAATACGGTCAGACCTCATCTCTACTAAAAATACCAAAATTAGCTGGGTGTGGTGGTGAGTGCCTGTAATTCCAGCTACTCGGGAGGCTGAGGCAGGAGAATCACTTGAACCCAGGAGGTGTTGAACGTGGGAGGTGGAGGTTGCAGTGAGACTAGATTGCGCTACTACACTCCAGCCTGGGCAACAAAGTGAGACTCTGTCTCAAATTTTAAAAAA